ACCTTCTGGCCTCTGAGCTTCTTCCCATGGTTTTGGGGACTGGGAAGTATGTGAATATTAGTTCATGGTATTTTCCTGTGTCTGACATGTAAAGCTTATGAATTGTCAGCGGCTTCTTTATGACCACAGGGACTGCACATGTTAAGGGTGGCAGCCTTCAGACCAGGAGCTGAGGAGCAGCATTTAAGCCCCTGTCTTCAGTCTTCCAGTCCATGTGTCTTGATAAGGAATTTTCTTGCTCAACTCCAGTGTGGTATAAGTCACTTATAACCTTCAGAGTCTTAACTTTTACCGACTGCTGATCTTCTTGTAGCTTGAAAGTAGCTGGCATGTGAAGATTTCATTTAAAGACTGGTTTACACTAGTTCACCAGAGAACATTTGCTTAGTTTCTCCCTTCTTGATTTCAAATACAGCTGAAAAGTCTATCCTATCTGTTAAAAAATAATTGTGATACAAATCTACATTTCATAGAAATAGAAAATGTTCTAAACTTCATTGAAACTGCAAAGAATCTCAGAGACCCAAAAACAATCTTGAGGAAGAAGAATAAAGCAAGAGGCATTTTATGTACGCCCTGGTTTCAAAATATATTACAAACCTATACTAACTAAAACTGTATGGTACTGGCAAGAAGACAGACATATGGGTCAATAGCACAGAGAGCCCAGAATTAAGTTCACAAATATATGGTCCACCCATCTTCAGCAAGGGTACTGAGAATACACAATGGAAAGAGTCTAGGGTGTAATTCAGTAGTAGAGTGAGTATTTAGCATTCGTAAGACACTGGATTCAATCTTCATCAACCTTCCAGCCTCCCCACCCCCAAATATACAACAAGGAAGGATAGTATCTTCAATAAATAGTGTTAGGAAAACTGGATATCCACATGCAAAAAAATCAAACCCTTATCTTACATCCTATAGAAACTCAAAATGGATTAGAGCCTTTAATGTAAGACCTGAAACTATACAACTTTTAAAACATAGGTAAAAGCTTCATGATATTGGTCTTGGCAATGATTTCTTGGATATGACACCAAGAACACAAGCAACAAAAGCAAAAATACACAAATGGAGCTACATCAAATTAAAATCTTCCACATGGCAAAGTTCACACAATCCATAGGATTAATTAAAAGGTAATCTACAGAATGGGAAAAAATATTTGCAAACCATACATCTGATAAGGGATTATTTTCCAAAATGTGTAAGGAACTCCTATAAGTGACTAGCAACCTTGGTATGGTGGCATGCACCAGTAATCCCGGCATCTGGGAGGCTGAGATAGGAGACTCACAAATTCAAGGCCTGAACTATATAATGAGACCTGGGCTCAAAAACTCAACAAACAAAATCTCAATAGCGAAACAGCAAAAATGAAAACACCAAATAACTTGATCAAAAAATTAGGCAAAGGACTTGAATGGACATTTCTGCAAAGAATATGCACAAATGGCTAATAGATATGTGAAAAGATGCTTGACATCACTAATTATCAGAGAAATGTAAATAAAAACCACAAAGAAATATACTTGACACCAGTTAGGCTGGCTATTATCCAAAAGACGAATGGTGACATGTGTTGGTGAGGATGTGGAGAAAAAAGAATCCTTACAAACTGTGAGGGTTGAAAAATGGTGCAGCTGCTATAGAAAATAGTATTTAGGATCCTCAAAAAATTTAAAACAGAATTACATACAACCCAGCAATCCTACCTCTAACATTTATCCACAACGGTGGAAATCAGGATCCTAAAGACATCTGCTCTCCTGTGTTCTTTGCATCACTATTCACGATATCCACAGTGTAGGAACAGCTGAAATGTCCATGGGTGGATAAAGAAAACGTGGTTCCACATACAACGAAGTATATCTGTGACATAAAAGGGGTCCAAAGTTGATAGGTATAAAGTTTCAGTTATATGACTAAGTTCTAGAAATCTGCTGTACAACATTGTGCCTATCATTGTGCACTTAAATTGAGAGACTAGATCTCATATTGTTTTCTTACCACAGTACCATAAAAAGGATAGTCTAATTGATTCAAACAGGACATCTTGAAAGCAACTGGAAACCATCCTGTTGTTCTTGGCTAATTGCAATGTGTTTTATTCAGTCATCTTTAGTTCTTGCATGTCTCATTTTCCAACATTTCAACACATTAGTCAGGAAAGGATAAAAAGAAGTTCTTCTAGGCATGTATTGGTGATATTCAATGAGAGAAACAAAAGAGTACAAGTGGGGAATGCTTAGTGGGTCACAGGACCCTGAAATAGGAAGAGATCGGAGGTTTGGTGACACTGGCACCTCCATGCATGTGCTGCGGCAGAGACTCCACCAGTTCACTCTTGGTTATCACAAGGACACTTCAGAACATGTCTTCAGGGTGACAAGTCTCTCTATATGCTACTTATATGTTGTCTGTGTAGCTTTTCAGTCTTGGCACAATTTCAAATGTTGTCTCCCCTCCTCCCATGTTCACTGATTGAGTCTGGATCTGATATTGTGTGGCCACCTTGACCTTCAGGTGACAACTTGCTCTAAGGCTTTGTGAAAGAAAAAAACATCATAATTGTACCTAAGAAGAAAATCTTAACTCTGCCCAACAATAGATCAAAAACCTAAAAAACACCTACTAGGGATTATAGAATACTTAACCCTGGAGAAGCTATGTAGAAAAGTATGGAGAAAAAGAAAAATATTTTCAGGGAATGGACATAGATAATTTTTATCGATAATCTCTAATTAGTACGCTTGGGGATTCTGAGTTTATCCAGAACAGATGTCAAAAAAGAAAAGAAAAGAAAAACAACAAAATTCCCAGTTAATTTGGTTGAACAAAGCAACTTTCAAATATTAAGCTAATTATTTTCAATCTATGAAAGCACTTTATCCCTAGTCTTCAAACATAGGCATGTTTGTTATCCAGAAACCTTTTCTCTGTCTAATCCAAATTCCTCTTGCATTGCAACTCCTCCCAAGCCCATGTTCAATTCTTTTGCTCATGGAAATGGCCACCTGGCTTCTCTTTGTCTACAAATTCTTTAGTTTTAGTTTTTCTCCATGGGTTCTAGTGTGTATCCTTGAACAATTCTTAATTAAAAAAAAAAAAAAAAAGGGCCAGGGATTTAGCTCAGTGGTTCCAGCACTTGCCTTGCAAGCGCAAGGGCCCGAGTTTGATTCCTGGTACCAAAGAAAAAAAATTCTTTTAAAAAAAAAAAAAAAGTTTCTACTGGCTTAGTAGATATTTGCCAAGCTGGTACATACACCATCTGGATTTCCCCACAGGATATGGTGGAGTGAAGCTCATGTTATGCTCCACTTGTGTATTCCTACGGAAGGTCAGACACTACCTGCCAGTCTTATGTCTGCCCTCGTTCATCCCAGCTCTGGTTGTGTGTGGTACCCCAGAAAGGAGCATCATGAAACACACTGGGGACATAGTTGCTGTCTGTGTGCTGGGTTTGTGTGTATGAGTGAAGGGCAGGTTGGAGAACAGCCTCCTTGGTAGTACTAATAAGCAGCCCTGGGCTGGGATGACCCGAGATACCAGACTCCCAGAGAAGGGAAACAGAGGTCTCCAAGTGCTGGGCTGGGCTGCAGGTTGCCCATTGCCAAGGCGAGGAGAAGCTGATGATGGCAGGGAGGGCTCATGTGCTCTGGGCACAAACAGGGTGGGAGATAGACCTGAAGACAACTGACATATTCGGGCCAAGCAAGTAAGCGAAGCCATTTGTTTTTCTCTTTTCTTCCTCTCAGGTTTCTTTGTACTTTTTCTAAAATTCAGACATCTAAACAGTTGCTGGGTTGGGCAGAAGGATGTGGTGGCCATTGTTTGACCTTTTCGTCCTCTTCTGAGGACTGTTTACAAAGTTGGTGGAAGACCTCCTGATTAAACAACTATGTGCACCCCCTGCAGAGCTCAGAATTATCTTGAATTTGAAAATATCAAGTTCTGACACCATTAGGCAAATCACTGTTGACTTCGAGTATCTAAAAACTCAAAATATAACTATTTTCTTCCATTAAAACCCTGTAATGTGGCCCAGTTCTGTGTGATAATTTTAAGAACAATGCTTAGCACCTATATCGGGCAGGGGATAGGAAAGCCAAAAGCTGAGCATCTTCCTGTTTCCCACAGTTCTTGACCCAAAGCAGAAGCGATGCTCTTCTCTCTTCATCACCAGAGATCAGCCTGTACTTTACTCATGCCTGGATCCCTGAGCCAGTGGATTCAGCTCACAAGTTTGCTCATCAGCAATGATCATAAAGCTTCTCTGCAGTTCTTGCTACCAGAGTGTCACAGTACTCCACGTGTTTGCCTGCTTGGAGTAGGTGGTACTCTTTGTGGTTCAGATGGACCTAACTTCATCTGCCTGTCCAGATGTGTATGTGGAATGATCACCCAAGTCATCTGGAGTCCACAGACACCACTGAAAGTCAGCTTTCTGTAAGGAAATGCTTAAAAGAAATGGGACCAAGGTAAAGCAAAGATTAAGGGATAGGGAGAAAGCTTGTAATTGCATTACTGCAACATTCTGCAAAATCAGACTCGGATTTCTGTAGAAGTTTTGGAGTTGAAATTGCTTCAAGTTATTTACCGAGAGCAACTGCATGAGTACTACATTGACAATTTCCAGCGTGATTCCCCTCAAGGTTATGTGACAAGGCTGCAGGACAATGTTTGGGTATTTCATGCATGTATGTAACTGTCACTTTGCTTTGCAAGATTAAAAATTCCCAGAATGTCCACAGGAGAGTACAATGTAGCTTTTGGCAGGTCAAGTAAAATGTCCTCCCTTAGTCTTTGTCCCTGCCTTATTCTTTCTCCTACGCTTTTAGTTCACTAAGTTGTAGGAACTGAAATCATTCTTGGTGAATAATGCGGGGCCACGCTGAAAATTTGTGACTGAGAGCTGGACCCTCGTCATCACCACGTACTTTGTCACTGAGACAGGGTAACCCATGGTAACTAAGCTCCTGCTGGTGAAGGGGCAGAGTCCCCCCTCCCTACTGCTCTATAAAAGAGACCCAGCAAAGCGACCCTACCAGCTTCTGGCTCTCAGCCTAGGTGCAGGTGCCGGAAGAAGAGCCCAGATCTGGCACGGGCCACGGGGAAGGAAGGTCAGCATGCCACCCAACCTCAAACTCCAGTGGCACTTCATTCTTATCTTCCTGGCGGCTCTGAGAGGGAATGGCAGGTACCTAGAGGTGAGCCATCCCCGGGCTGACCTGCCACACCCTTCTTATAAGGGTGGCCAGGCTGCAAGTGGGCTGCCTCTGCTAGCAGCCTCTGATGGGGTTAGCTTTTTCCTTTGTCTCTGCCGGGTCCTTCCCCCGGCTTTGCCTTCCCAGACTTGCTTCTCCCTTCCTCTGGGCATCCCGGGTGACAGCCTTCCTTCGCCCCCCCCCCCGGGGGGGGGTCCTGGAGTGGCAGAAAGGCTCAGGGACCTTCCAGGCGTCTCCTGACACCCTGGGGACACTAATTTCCTCTCCGTTCTCTTTGCCCGGCTCCTGGTTCACTTTCCTATCTATGCCTCCAACTTTCCGGACTGATCCATTTTTCTTGCCAGCTTCAAGAAGCCGCGGACTACGACCCTTTCCTGCTCCTAGGTGCCAGCCCGAAGAGGGACCTGGCTGGGGAGCAGCCGTACAGCCGCACGCTGCGTGAGTGGAGGTTCCTGAGGTCCCTCGGGTCTGGGGTGGCGGGGTGGTGGGGTGGCCGGGACCTTGGGACGCAGCTCCGTCCCCTCCTTCGGGGAGAGGACGCGAGCCCAGGGCGCGGAAGCCGGGGCTGCAGAGCCGAGCCGGAGCGGGGCTCGGGGAGCACAGCACCTCGACCCCCGCTCCCGTCCCTAGGGTGCCTGGACATGCTGAGCCTGACGGGACAGTTCACCTTCACCGCGGCTCGGCCGCAGCTGCACTGCGCCGCCTTCTTTATCGGCGAGCCGGAGGAGCTGCTCTCCATCCACTTCGACCTGGTGTCCATCGACTGCGCGCGCGGGGACCTCTTGAAGGTGAGGCGCTTGCCCGCGAGACGTCCGAGTGAGCGGGGAGCAGGCGGGGTGTGGGGGGGCTGGAGAGGGCTGAGGTTCTGCGTCCCCACTCTGGATGACACCCTCCGTGGATGCTCCAGCACGCGACCCCATGGAAGACCTCACCACAGCGTGTGGGGCCGGTGCCTCTGGGACTTCCAAATGCTGGAACTTGCGAAGCGATCTCCTGTGGTGGAATCTGGGGCTGATAAAATACCATGAAAAGGCGCTCGCGGGAGCTCTGGAGTCCACCGAGGGAGCCGGGGTACAGTACTGAGACTGCCCCAGTCCCTGCGCCAGCCGTGCTGTTCCACACTCGCGGGATGTTCCCAGGGTGCAGGGGGGTGTCTTCACAGCCTGCGGGAACCCTGGGGCACTGGCTGCTAGGGTTACGCTGATAGTGAGGGAAGGACAAGACCCCGACCTCACAGCACCCCCCCCGCCACTCTCCTGCAGAAGGCTAACGGGTCACCTTGGGCGCCCTCCTGTCCATCCTAAACAGGATTGGAACCCCCAAGGCAGAGCTGTTTTGGAAGCTGTCAAACATATTGGAGATAATTCGTATGGTTTGGTCATTTGTCTAATGTGGTCTAGCTTGGACTCATTAAACTGGACACCCGTGGTGATTTTGAGAACAAAGTCAATTGACTCCGACCCTTTATCCAACTCCTATGTTGTTCACATTCCAGTGACTAGAGGAAAGGAGCTGAATGAAGCCCAAATTATGCTAAGGTTGAATTCTTCTGAAGATAGGATATGGAGAATAAGTGTAAAAAAGTTCACTGATTTTGTCAGCATAACAGAAAAAGTGTTACTTGCAACCTGACAGCCAAAGTACTAGAGATGAAAGGCGAGTGGATGGGGAAGTGTGGGCTGTCAACTCCTCACCTCCAGCCCAAGGCCCAGTGCCCGACACCTTTCCCCCTGTTCAACACACCCGTGATTTCAGAAGCTCGTGAGAGTGACCACCTATGTCTGTATTATTTGTAGTTTTATTTTTTACTTTTTGGAAGGTATTTGATGGCTGGATCCTCAAGGGGGAGAAATTCCCCAGTTCCCAGGATCATCCTCTCCCCACCACCGATCGCTACATAGACTTCTGTGAGAGTGGTTTCAGCAGAGGCAGCATCAGATCCTCTCAGAATGTGGCCATGATATTCTTCCGGGTCCATGAACCAGGAAATGGATTCACATTAACCATAAAGACAGATCCCAACCTCTTTCGTAAGTGACCTCCCTGCTTTCTCAATCAAAGGACAGGATTCAGGGATCAAATCTCCTTTGCAATGGTGATATTACACCACAGACTAAGGGAATTTGAGCTGAGAAATTATTTGAATGAAAATTCATTTATAATTAGATGTGACCCAAATGATATTGTCTGTTTGTTATTAGGAAAACAAATTGTGGTGTTTAATTTACTGTCCAGGGTAGAATAGTAAACTAGTTTATGGTGGCTATAATTCTATTTTTTCCCCAAAGTCTTCTTCTGATATCCTAAGTTACTGTAATGCATTCAGGGAGGAAACTTTAATCTCCCAAGTCATTTTACTGATCTAGGATAAACTTGGAGGCTCAGAAATGAAGTTGTGGCCATAGAACTAGCTACGGAGGCAAAGGCTGGCGGGCTGCGTGTCAAAGGCCATGTTCTGAGCAGAGGATTGGACCAGAATCCCTTTGTGCTGTGCTCTGATGCCAACCCCACTACCTAATCTAGTTCTTTTCTGATGGAGACATGTGGAGATTATGCTATCAAGCTGTGCAGCCCAGGCCTAAAGCATGTGCTTTTTTTTTTTTTGGTGGTACTGGGAGTTGAGCCCAAGCCTTCAGACTGAGCTACATCCCAGCCCTTTTCATGTTTTAGTTTGTGACAGAGTACCACTAAGTAGCTCAATTGACCAAACTGGCCTTGAACTTGTGATCTTGCCTCAGCCTCCCAGAGTATAAAACACACACTATTTTAATCAGAATGAGTTCATTCATCCGCTTATTTTTCTCCATTAAGAAAAAACACAAATCTTTCTAAAAATCAGAAAAAGAAAGCATATCATTCATTTTAGGTAGCATATAATAGTAGTATTAATACTAATACTTCATGTAGTTGAAGAACAGGGCCTCATCTGTCAAAGGATAATATACTACTAATCTGATTTCCACTTTTAAAAAAAGAACTTTTAAAAGGATCTCTCCAAAAGAGCTGTTTCTGAAGACTGAAGCAGAATGCTCCTAGGAGATTAAATGAAATGTCTGGCCCGAATTTTGTTTGGTAAGAAGTCAGAAGAAGCCTTCTAGGATTATCAAGGAATTTGAGTTCTTTTTTTTGTTTGTTTATTTGTTTTTGTTTTTTTGGTACCGGGGATCGAACTCAGGTCCTTGCGCTTGCGAGGCAGGCGGCGGAACCACTGAGCTAAAGCCCCAGCCCTTCAGTTCTTTTTTGAAAGTAAGTGTAATTAAAAATAAAAGAAAGAGGCAAGAGGTAGGTCTGATCTGTCCTGATCAATCAGAATTTTTAGATCCATAGTCATAAAAATGCAAATTTTGATATTTCTGTTTCTTAGCTAGAAGGATAAATATATTTTAAGTGTAGATGTACGATATTAAAAATTTCAGATTCTTGAGAGTCAGCATTAAAAATTTATCTTTTAGTCAACATCAATCAACACTGAATGTACATTTATCAAATTTAAGTATCCTGTCTTTTTACTCAATCGATTGTGTCATATTATAAAATACATAAAATTGTTTGCTTTATTATTTTAAAAATAACATTATGGATCAAATTCTGAGTGAAGACTTCAGACAATTTTTTTGTTTGTTTGTTTGTTTTTGAGGCAGAGTCTCACTACATAATTCAGTCTGGTCTTAAACTCAGTATGCAGCCCAGGCTGGCCTCAAACTAGTGGCAGCCCTTCTGCCTCAGCCTCCCACATGCTGTGATTACAGGCCTGCATCACCATGCCCAGTTAGACAGAGTTTGAGTTCTGGACTCATCTTAAGCCTTGACTGTCCAGATTCCTGGCTTGAATACAGACCCTCAATAAAAGATGTGTTCCTAGGTCAACTACCAGCTAGGGTTGCTTTCTAGCTAATGATTCATGTCTTGTGATGTTATAAATAAGGTAAACCCTGGAGACGAAGGTCAGAAGACTTGGGGCCTTCTCGTGGTTTTTTATTCCCCAATTCCTTCCTTTCTTGTAATTGTCATTGAGGTATATATTCTCTTCCCCCCAGACTATGAACAGTAAGCTAAAATAAGGATACAATAAATTTCTATAAAACCCCATTAAACCTAATAATGCAAATGCAACCTCTTTATTTCTGCCAAGCTTGCAACGTCATCTCTCAGACCCCAAATGGAAGGTTCACCCTGGTGGTTCCTCAACAGCATCGGAACTGCAGCTTCTCCATCATTTATCCAGTGGTGATCAAAATATCGGATCTCACCCTGGGACATGTGCACAGTCTTCAGTTAAAAGTGAGTGCCACTTGCTTCCTGAGCATTTGGTGAGGCCACAGCTTTAGCACAGCAGGTGCAAACTGGCAGAGCAGGTTCCTTGGGATTTTAGCTCCCACGTGTGTGTGCGCTTTTCCTGACTGCTTTTTACCAATTCCCTGCTATTTCAGTTATACTTCGAATCACACACTCAGGTGCCCATTCTGACTGCTTCCACACTTTCCTTGTGATGTAAGGAATGCTTTCAGTGGGTAAAGTTGTGGTATGTAATTACAATTGAACTCTCTTGTACTTGCGTCTTTTATAAAATTCTCTCCTAGCAGAACCCAGCATGAGTCATCTACACAGCTGCTTTTCTGATTATTGGAATCTTGACACGAAGCAAGTATCTCATGGACAGAACTATGGTAGGAAGGGATGTTATCTGCAACATAAAATGTGAGATTGGGTGTTTTTATATTGCAAAAGGCAATAAAGTTTTGGAGATTTGGCACTACATTTCATTTAATACATTTTACCTCAAACATATTTGTTGAGAATCCCTATCAATTTGGTTTTAAATGAGCTTCTGAATAACCTTAAAATGAATGCAGGACTTGAACACATTCACTGGCATGGTAGCGCCTTTCCCATGAGTCATCCTCATTTCCTTTTTCTTGTTCATCTGCCTAGGCTAAGATAACTTGTGTATTTGCTGGTATCAAATGTGGTCATAGTTCCTGATCAGATTTTAGTGAAAGTCAAATAAACAGGACCATGATGGAGACAAGAAAGTATATCCAATTTCTTCTAGTCCTAAATAAGCTTATGCTTACCTTGGTATAAGACTAATCCTTTGATGAGGATGACTTTGAATGTCTTTGGTACAGGCTGATATTTCTCATGTCATTCTTGATGTAAAACCTAGAAGATGGGACATGTCTCCCAGCAGACTGGGAGATTTGTCCTTTAGGTATTGAGTCTACAAGAAAAAAATTTGGGATTTCTCCTTGACAATTGAGAGTCTATAGTGTTCTAGGGATCTATTACTTTAAAGGATTTTTTTCAGTGCTTCCTGTATGTAAGGGACCATTTTAGACACTGGAAATGAGCAGCCAGCCAGATGGATCCTGTCCCTGACAGTGTGCATTCTAATGGGATGGGCCAGACAAAATGGCCATGTATTTCAAGCAGTGCTAAGTGCTATACAGAAGACCCAGCAGAATGGTTTGATAGAATGACTGGCAATGTGTTGGTGGGGGTGGGGGGTCAAGGGAAGAACCACCTGGGCTAAGGTGTTGAGGAAAGAGAGAACCTGAGTGACAGATCAGAAGCAACCAGGACCATGGGAAGAACAGGAAACGGAGGGTACAGTGGACTTGCTGGGTTCCAGAAATGGGAAGAAGGCAAGGCATGGGTGGGAGTGAGAAGCTTAGGAAGATGGGCCGGGTGAGAGCGCTCTGCTGTCCCTGTTTTTAAGTCTGGTGGGAAACGGTGAAGGGGTCAGGTAAGTGGTTATGTGACCAAGGTACTGTCTAAGCTCACTTGGCTTCCGCATGATAAATGGATGGGCTCTCAAACCATGCTCTCCTTCCATGGCCCCAGATATGTCTCTCTGATGATCATTATTACTGTACCTATCCTTAAACACTCCAGACTTCTTATGTACTGAAAAGTGAGTTCCACCAAGGAAGAGTTTGGTTTTGCACACTGAGCAGGGTGGGGACTTTACATGTGGCACACGAGTCCAGGTACTCAGTGGCACATTGCTGTAGTCTAGGGGGAGATGATCATGCCTTAGAAGCCCAACAGAAATATCTAGGGGATTGCCACTGAAGAGTAGAACCGCAGAGAGGTCCCTACACAGCTGGGTTTTGCCACTGTTTATAAGAAAACCTGAGGGGTTTCCAAAGGGGAGGGAGATGTCATTGAACACCAAGGAATAGGTGCACCCAGTTTCCTTGTTCATTTTTGTCCCTTTATTTTAGTGTCTACTTTTTCCCAACTTCATTTCCCATTTCTTTCTCTCAAGCCTGCTGTTTCCCTTCAATACTACCTGATAACATTTGGAACCTAAGGAACCAAGTGGAAACTTCAGTCTTTAGAGATATTCCCCTTGGACATCATCTACTCAAGGGAAAGTCAATTAAGTACTTTTTCCCCCTTCATCCCCAAATAGCTTCTTTAACTCTCAATTCACAAACATGAAGCCTTTTGCACAGTGAAGCTAATTAAATGTTTCATCATTTGATGAAATTATGGATAAGTACGCATAGAACCTTGCACAGAGTAGGACCTTTAAAAATAGATATCCCCTCTTGCCTGCCTTCATTTGCCAAACAGTTGCCATTCTATTGTTTTTCTAATTTGTAGTTTAGCTCTAGCTCAGTGTCTGTCTGACTGTGCGCTTACGTAAGTTCTCATGTGTTTAAAGTTATTGGTTTTCTTTTTTATTTATTTATTTATTTTATTTTTTTCCAGTACTAAGGATCAAACTCAGGACCTTGTGCTTATGAGGCAGGCATGATGCCACTGAGCTAAATCCCTGGCCTAAAGTTCTTGGGTTTAGAGTTTGGTTCCTATGTGTTAGGGTTTATGTAGTTCTCTTCTGGCACCTGCCACTCTCCATAGGTCTCTCAATTATGCTTCAATGAGAAAAAGATGGCAGGAAAAACTGGTGACACGAATTATGGGAGTGGTACAAAGCAAAAATTCAGGGGGCCTTATTAAAAATTTATTAAGAATTTCAAGACAGAGCAGTAAGTGAAACTTGGGGTCTTTCTGACCACAGCCCTGTGTGTCACTGCCTGTGATTCAGCCCTGGTCACAGAAGGGGCCCCAAGGGCATCACCAGTGGGTAATGGTGGCTGCTTTTTCTGTGGAAAACTGAGGCACAGGAATTGCTGTGGACAAGACTGGAAAGGACTAAGGGAAACAGAAAAAGTAGCAACAGAGGATCACATGCAGGCTTAGAATCAAGTCTTCTTTTAAGTAGTTTGATGTGCTCGCCTCGACAGCACATATACTAAAATTGAGTAGCCTAAAATAACTTTGCTTTAGTTGAACAGAGAAAGATGATGGTAAGTCTAGCTAACTTGGGCTCCAAACCAGAGTTTTATACTTTTTAAAGTCTACTCAAATTAACCTAAATCTTTACTGGTAGAAATCATTGTTTCAAACAGCAGAGAAAGTCCTTTATAAAGAAGAGGAGAAGAGGTAAATTAAAGGGACACCCAGTACAGAAGCTCTCTGTATAAAATGCAGATAGTTGGCTTCATTTAGCTCTGTCTGCATGCATTAAGAAATTCAAATTATTGAGAATGTACATCCAAGAGATTCAAAAGCAAAGCATATTCAGGTCTCTCTCATACATCTTATATCAAGTGTATAGATTTCTGTTTCATCATTCCAGCCCTTGAGCTTAAATTTTTTTTAATATGAGCATAATTTTTTTAAAAAAATGATTACTCGACTGCTTTAGGAAAGCAATTCCTATGATTGTTTCCTTTTTAAAAGCTTTTTAATTTCCAGAATTCTAGATGTTAAATTCATTGGCACTGCCAGGATGTTGAGGGCTGATAAGTAAATTTCCCCTTCTACCATTGGGCAAATGGGTTGACTTTTGTCTTGGTTTAAATGTGTCTTACTCTGCTGCTTTGTTCTCTTAGAAACCCTCAGCAGGCTGCGGGGGAAAAGGAGACTTCGTGGAGCTGCTGGGAGGAACTGGCCTGGACCCTTCCAAGATGATGCCTTTAGCTGATCTCTGCTACCCCTTTCATGGCCCTGGTGAGACACTTTTCAGTTGTACTTGTGTACCTATCAAGAGTATTTCTTTACATAAAACACTCCTTGTTTTTAATACATTAGAAAGTGAGTTCTGCCAGGAAAAACTTCCATTTTATATGTGAAGCCAGTAGGAGAATTCTACATTTGAGTCTATGTACAGGGTCAGAATCTGTTATCAAAATATCCGACATTGGGCTGGGGATTTAGCTCAGTGGTTCCAGCGTGTGCCTCACAAGCTCAAGGTCCCAAGTTCAATCCCTGGTACCAAAAAAAAAAAAAAAAATCCAACATTGAGAAAAAACTATGAAGCAATGTAGATGTATATTTAGGGTTGGTGTTAAATGAAAAAGACAAGCTTTTCATTCCATCTATCCTGCTTTTATCCTCTGGAGACTACGCGATTTGTTTGCTAGCTGAAAAACTAATGTTTTTCAGTATCATAGATTAATAGGAATATAATGAAGTAATAACTAAATAAGTTTTCCGTACGTGTTGTACGTGTATGCATTATTCATAGTAATGAAACCACAAAGTGGTAAGATTTATTAGAACTTCTCTGAACAGCTGACTGTCCTCAACTTCTAGCAGAGGCCATGGTGATCCAGATGTTAATTCTGAGATCTAAAAGTGGTGACCAATATTAAAAAACTGGCTTAGGACACAACTGCCAAAGGTCTTCTTTGTCAGGGGCCAGTGAGGATTTTCCATGTGATTATGCTGAGGTGGGGTGAGGAGGGGTGGGAATCACTGACCCCATAACCAACCTCATTAAGTGTGTTTGTGGACCGCATAGAACATTCCTGTAAGGGTCACTCCCATACCTGTACTTCAGGTGCAGGCGTCTGGTTATCTTCAAAAAGACAAAAGTAAAATAGAAGACAAAGAACTCAAATCTCATAGTTAATTATTACCTAGTCCCTTCCTCTCCTGCCACCACAGACCCTTCACCCACTGTAGGTAATGAAATTGCAAAGGAGACAGGCATGTTGATCAGCTGTGGCTCATTTTAATTAAAACCAGATCAACCCAACAATCTTTTCTCTCTTTGAGCTAATTCTAGAACCTTGATACACAAAACATCTCTGAAATGGAATTGATACACACAGATAAGCACTAACCCTGGCGTGTACTCCGCCCTCCCTGGTACTTCTGCAAGAAAGAGGTTTCAGATGAGATTTCAGGCAGGACTGGGCCCAAGCTTTCCTATCAAAGTAAAAGCAAAAAGTTTCTAAAAGCCCATTTTGCTGAAGACTGGATTTTTGATCCTAATTGATCCTCTTCTGAATTGTTTAAAGAAAGATAAATTTGTCCCACCTAGAAGAAGTTAACCTAGGCTCCCTTGTTCTTATATTAAAACAATTATAAGGATTATATTTATTATGTTTTCAGATTAACATTCTTGAATTGTTTTATTTCATTTTAGCCCAGATACATGTTTGTGAGGTACTTGTGTTATAAGATGATGCTGATGTGTCTTAGAATTTAGAAATGACTTGTAGAATGAAGGGAAAAGACAGAAAATTAAAACAGCAGAAAGGAGTATTATAGGGCAGATAAATCTTGGCTCAGAAACTGGTTTGAGGCTGGAGAAGTAAAAGGAATGTACTTTTTAATAAAAATACTATGACTTTCTATATGTAACTGCTCAGACAGACGAGCATGAGGAAATAACAGTTGTCAGGTGCTTATCCAGATAATGAAAATATTGGATGTAAGACGAGTAGAAGTATTAGAAGCTATTCCATATGAGGAGTACTCGAAAAAATGAGAGCAAAAAGGTGCAGGTGGACCATAGGACAGAGACTACTATATTCAGTGTAAGCCTTTACCATGAAAGTGAATTTTTTATGTGTAAAGAAAAATTATTTCCTAGATTCAGAAAATAATGAACAGATAATTTCGTCTACATAAACAGAAAGCGGTGTACTCTGACCTGTAGCCCTTGCCCATTAAATGCCACTTAGAAACCCAGATATCCTGACAAACAAAAAATGCCCTGAAAATTTCCAACCCGTCCCTAGAGAACAGTGCTGTCCCCAACATGAGCACTGAAGCAGAGCACAGGTGCAGGGCTGACCAATCATCTCTGCTCCCTTTACCACCTCATCTTTGCAGGCAGGAGAACAGGAAAAAGGCTGGGCAATGTCCCCTTGCCTCTTTCCATTCAGATTTATTTGTCTTATGCTCAGTTCTCACTGGAGAAGAAAAACTAAGTTCAATTTCTTGATTCTAGAATTAATTATATATTATAATAACAAAACCCAAAGCATGTCACATCCCCTTGCTTTCCTTGAGTTTAAACTAGCAAGGCAATGGCAGTGGTTTGTGTGGCTCTAACTTGCTGAGAAGCTTACTTTTTCCATCAATTATAGCCCAGATGAAAATTGGCTGTGACAACTCTGTGGTGCGCATGGTCTCTAGCGGAAAGCATGTCAATCGCGTGACGTTTGAATATCGCCAGTTGGAACCGTATGAACTGGGGAACCCAGCCAGAAACAGCATCCCAGAATTCTGCCTGTCCAGTCTTTGAATAACCTGCTCCACACCCACCGTGCTGCTAGCTAAGAGTATTCTCAAAGCTTATTGTACATAATTCTCATGACCAGCTAGTGAAAAGCCTTTCATAACAGTCAGTATTCCCAGCTGTGAACACACACACACACACACATTAAGTTTTGTACATTGCTTCCTTTTTGTTTGTAATATATTTATGACACATGGCAGAAAATGAACCCCATGTGGTAAATAACGCGTTTTAATTGGAAATGTCTATAGTTCTTTGGTGTGTTGCAAACCTGAACTGGTAAGACAGGCATAAAGCAATGGGCAATGAACATTGACACCTCAAGGGAAAATACTACAAAGAAAGGAAAATGGTGGCACTCATAGTTTTATTCCAGAAAAAATTTCAAAGTCTTGTGTACACCAAAGGAGTTGTGTCTGTTTATTTTTTGTTTATAATCCTGTTTACAATAGGTAGAAGCTGTAACTATTATTTGTAATACATGTTTTTAACAAAACTTTGTAGCATGGAAAAAACATTCCATCCACAAATATAAATGTGAATAAATATATTCAGAATGTTGGTACCTCAACATTGTGCTTTATTTGCTTTCCTGAGTGGTCTTGTCCTTTATTGCTCTCTGAAGATAATGTTCCCATGTGATGCAGAACCGAGTCTTGGGTTTCTTAGAGTTACTGGAACTCTGGGCCATTAGATAGAAATCTGTGGCATAGAGGGAGATTCACAGTGTCTGTATGAGTGGCACAAACTCTTGGTCCTTGCAGGGAAGCTGGGGGTGGACATCTGTGTCCCACCAGATTGAGGACCTCAACCTTTTTGGCAGCTAGGACTGGTTTCGTAGAAGACAATTTTTCCATGGATGGGGGTGTGGGTGTGGGTGGGTGGATGGAGGAGATAGTTCTTTGTCTTAGTACTGCATATGTTTGTGACACATGATAATTACATTCCCCAGCACTAGCATCAATGCCTCAGCTCCACCTCAGATCATCAGGCATTAGAGCTTCTTAAGGGTTTAGACCTCAGTCATATGCAGTTCACAGTAGGATCCACTGCAATGAGAACCTGGTGCCCAGCTATCTGACAGCAGGCAGAACTCAGGCAGTGGTGCCAGACATGGAGAATGGCTATGAGACAGTGAAGCTTCGCTGGCTCACCGCCAGATGTGTGGCCTTGTTCCTAACAGGCCAGCACCCAGGACCAGTCCACTGACCTGGGGCTAGACACCCCTGCTGTAAGGAAACTCAGAATACATGTTTTTGTCACACGGATGTACTTTCCAAAAAGCACAGCACGACTTTACATCTCCATAGATGCAGCTTGTAGAAATCTGAGCACTTCTTTGGGTTGTAAAGACTGAGCCTTTTCCATGTTTGGCTTGAGATAAAGCATGTGGAATGTAAAGATATCTTGGAGCAAAATGAAGTCCTGAGAAATGTTCCTAAGGGAGCCCTCTACTTTGGATTAATGCAAGGAATTGCAAAGTATACCATAAGTAATGGACTGATTATGATTCCCAAAACATGCTTACTAAGAAGTACATTGGAATATACTGGAATTCCATATCCTGGGCTTTACAAAATCTAAAAACCAGACATAAGGAACAATACTAACTGAAGCTATGCACGGTGGTGCACACCTATACTCCCACCACTCTGGGAAGCTGAGGCAGGAGGATCACCAGTTCAAGCCAAGCATGGGCAACTTAGTTCTTATGAAGACCCTGTCTCAAAATGAAAAATAAGAAAGGGCCTAGGGCTTGGGATTTAGCTCAGTGATTCTGGCGCCTGCCTCACAAGTGCAAGGTCCAGAGTTCGATCCCCAGTACCAAAAAAAAAAAAAAAGAAAGGGCCTAGTATGTAGCTCAGTGCTAAGGCCCTGGGTTCAATCCCAGTACTGCAAAACCAAAACCAAAACCAAACAAATAAATGAACAAAATCAAAACCAAAAGTGATTGAAAGTGCTACGAGCACCTAAGATTTATTTATTTATTTATTTATTTATTTATTTATTTATTTATATTTTTATTTTTTTGGTACCAGAAATCGAACTCAGGTCCTTGCACTTGTACAGCAGGCAGTGAAACCACTGAGCTAAACCCCCAGCCCAACACCTAAGATTTAGCACAAGCTTTGGCTCAGCAGATGAATGAGTACTTTGGAAAATTATTGTATAAATGTCTGGATGGATAAGTGGATAGATAGGTGGACTGTATTATTCTTGATTAGTTATATAAGATATTGGATTTCTCCAATCATAAAAAATAAATTGTATGGGCTGGGAATGTAGCTTAGCAGTAGAAAGCTTGACTAGCCCTGAGTTTGATCCTCACCACCAATAAATAAATAATAAATAAATATATGTTATGAAGTTGAGCCCTTTTGTTACAGCCCCTTTGGCAACCTAAGTATCAGGGCAGTTCTGGCACCATTAGAAGTTTCTGGCTCTTAACCCTCGGGACTTTATTATATGCTGATAAAATGTCATTTTCTAGTGAAGTTAGTACTGTGGTCACTTCTAGCCTTGGCATTCTGCAGTCATCCATTTTATACCAAAGCCTTTTTGTGAATAACTGTGCTTCTTATTTTTATTATTGTTTCTTACTTTTGGTGAATAATAGCTTAAGTTCTTTGTGATGACAGCCCCTCTGGGGGATCATTAATGTCTTGTTCTTGGAGGTCCATGCCTTCCTTGGTGTTCACTGAAAAGGATGGGCAGTTTCTGGAAACAAAATGGGAGATGAGATCTCTGGGGAGAGTTCCAAGGTGTGTCCTCACTGTCATGTCCACTAAGTGAGTGAAAGTTCTTATGAAACATGGGCCAAATTTTGCTAAGAAATGCATTTATGGGAGTGGTTAACATCATCTACTGTGGAGCCAACCGTCTATCAATCCCAGGTCTACCACTTCCTTGGGAAAGTCACTTATGAATTCTCCATTGTGCAGTTTTTAATCTGTAGAATGGAGATCATCAAGGTTCATTCTCCATAAGGCTTTGGTCAAGATGAAATACCTAAATACAGTAAAACTTTGGTTTGCAAGAATAATTCATTCCAGAAAAGTGCTTGTAGTCCAAAGCACTTGTGTATCAAAAGGAATTTCCTTATAAGAAATAATGGAAACTCAAATGATTTGTTCCACAACCCCAAAATATTTATATAAAAATGATTACGTTACTGGAATACAAAATAATAAAGAAAACACAAGATATAAAGAAAAATGAACAAATTCACCTGCACTTACCTTTGAAAACCTGCATGGCTGGTGTGAGGGAGATAAGAGAGAGGAGGATAGGACAACTTCCACAGTCTAATGGAATCACTGCTATCTATTGGCTCAGTGGAATCTTTTTCCTTTCACGCCACTTTAACAAGGAACCTAACCAATGACACTTGCTTTTACCTCCTTTTGAGGATTCATGGAAATGTGAGATTGCATTGTCATTAAACAGATTCATCATTCACACTGCTACAGCCTCATTCAGGCGGTGCTTTGCTACAAAATTTTTCAGTTTCCCACATTGTACATATCTCCCTAATCTCACTTGAAGAGAGGGATTCCTCCATCTTTTTCTCCTCCTTCTCCTTCTCCTCCATAGACAAGATCTTTATAACCTCTTGCTGTTGGGAAACAATGACCCATAATCCCACAGCGAGAGAGACAGAGAGAGAGAGAGAGAGAGAGAGACCATAGGCTCAGTTGTGATCATGTGACATTCAGCATCACATACTACTCATATTGCAAGACATCACTTGTTTATCAAGTTAAAGTTTATTAGAAAGTTTTGCTCATCTTGCAGAACAAGTTACTTGCAATCCAAGGTTTTACTGCAAATTTAAAACCCAAGAACTGTGCTTTGCATGTATTGCTTGATATTTTTATTATTGTTTCTTACTTGTGAGTAAATGTGCCATCCCAAGTCCTCTGTATTCTTGGAGAGGTGTCTTCTGTGCTTTGGTGGGTTTGCACTGACTCAGTTATGCTGTTTCATCCCAGGATGAGGATGTGAGTGTTGGTGACTGAGGCTGAGAAGCTCAGATATGTTGCTGGTGACATCTGAGGATAGGTCAAGTCAGGTCTCATCTCGTTCCCATGTGCCTCTGCTTACAGCTGACCTACCAGCAGGCTCTGCAAGGCTGCAGAACTGGTGTTGACCTTGAATAGCTCTTGTCCGAAGTGCTGGTCATGTACAAATCATCTCAGAGTCTGTTTTGCATATGTGCCCTTGTGCCTGTTCCCCATCACTGTAATCTTCCTGCATCTGGGTTATTTCATTCTAGCTGTCAACCAACTAGGAAGATCCTCACTGGACTTTGGATGAATAAGAAACTTGCATATTGTTAAGCCACTGAAGTATAAAAAACTCTCTATATAACTGAATGTTGTCATCTTGTATACAGTGGGCCTAAGTCTGATTTTCAGCTATTCTCCAGTGAGTTGGTTTGCTGCAACTATCCAAACTTTCCAACTGACCTGACTCTTTTCCAAAGAAAAACACTTCAAATGCACATTTTTGATCTCATGAATACCAAGCTTTAATTGATGTCATTGTATCCAAATAGTTCATATCTCTTAAATAATCTTATAACAGTGATTCTTAGATTTTTTTGAAAATCTGCAGATTGTCTCTCAGAAAAAAAAAAGTGCCCACATAAAGGATATATCTCCTTAGTGTCTGAGAGTTCACAGATGCCGGAGGCTCACACAAGGGTCTAGAATAAGAGACCGGCTCTCACTGTAAATAATGATAAAAGTCAATTTTATTGTAGTCTTCTCCTTCTGAATTGTCCTCTCTTCAGTTAAAAGGATCCATGAATTTGTCTGTAAATGGGTCCATAATAGAGAGTTAATCTCTGTGTCTCTACATAACCATGCAATTTTGGCTTTTACTAGATGGATATTCTTCACCTACCATATAGTTTTGCCTCAGGAAGGAAATACATCTGCCTTGAGATAAATTTGAGTGACAAAGATCTTTCTGCATCTCTTCCAAGTGAAAATTTTCCTTTCTTGTTCTTTTAACAGGAAGACTATGTTGCCTAGGTTTGGTTGCAAGTAGAATCTTCAAGAAAGGGGGAAGGGGTTTGATGGACAGGATTTACTTGTAGGCAGTTTGTTTATGTGCTCAAAAACACCTACTGGAGAGTCATGGAGAGAGCTCTTATTACAGGGTAATCATATGAAATTATATCTGAGTACCTCTTCCCTGTGCAGAGCACCATCACAGAGCAGAGATTCAGCTTTGTTGGTTCAAATAAGCAGGTCAAGAGGCCTCTGTTCTAGGGGATCATTGGTAATGATTACTGCCCATTTTTCTCTTTGCATTTAGAAGTTGTTTCTTCATGTGTGGAGACAAACTGTACAAAGAGAGAAGAACCAGAGATAGTAGGAAGAAATCTGGGTGAGAGAAAGAAGGCTTGATTAGAGGTTTTGAACACATAATGAAAATCAAAGTCTCTAAATTGGATTCTGGGCTTTGCTCTTGATAAGGCAGTGTACTCAATCCCTCTGCAGCTGGAAAAGAAAACAAGTGTCTTGTGCTTTAGGGGAAAGATTTAATATCACCACTAAGACA